GGGATTCTCCGTGTTCCCCAGCGTGGGGAGCAATTCTTGGTGGGCAGCGGGGGACCCCCTGCTAAGACCCCACAAAGCGCGCAAAGTGACGGTCGCTTGAGAGGCGACCTGCATGCGACCTGCTGAACAAAGCTGAACAAAATATTTTTGTTCCTCGGTCAATGGTGACGAGGAGCGTTGCTTTAATTAGACTCAACTCAGAGGGGTTGAGCCAAGTGACATCATAGATGGTGTCAACTTGCGTAGCCTTAGGACCTAGGCATTGTCAAGCCTCTTCCAAGCTGGAAGAGAAAAGTCCAAGCTGAGAGTTGTTACGCCGGCGTTGTTGCTTTGTTTGTCCATTTTTCATGTCCAGCCTTCCAGCGCACTGCTTTGCTCTATTTCATGTGATGCACCCACTCACCACAAGAAGGAACATGAAGCAACGCACTAGTTTGGTTTGGACCCTATTCTCAGCTTCGGGCCCGTTTTGGGCACCGTCGCCAGTTTGGGCCGTGCGTTGAACGCCTCGCAAACAACTGGAGCCAACTGACAGGCTGCTGTGATTCTCGGCTCCAAAGGAGCAATTCGAGTGCCTAGACCAAGATTATTTTGCAGAAGTGGTGTGGAATTGATGCCCACAATTGACAATGCGTAGGTGTTAGACTAGTGACTACCACATAATGCTCAAAACGGCCGTCGCCCGGCCAAAGCGGCTTTCAATTCTCCGTAGACGACCCTCCGTAGACGGCCGAAGCGGCTCTCACCCACCGATTCCATGCCGGGTTTCACCGATCGGAGTCCCACTCCTAATGGAGTGCGTATGGAACCGACGAGACATGGAGGCACTCGTCGACGCGCCCGATTCGAAAAAAGGACGGCGATGCGCTGCGGCCCTCGAAGGTCGTCCGGGTGCGAGGGTGGTCGTCCGACTGAGGTGTGCGTCCGGGTTCCTGGGCGATGCACGGTGCACAGCCCTCTCAGAAGGCATTTGGACCCAAGCACCTTCTCAGGATGCAGTTGGAGACGAACATTCACACCCATCACTGGCAGGCAACAGGCAATCTACAGGAAAGACGTGATCGTGTTTTCATTTATAGCTGGACCTTTGGTGAGTCATCCTCGTCTCATGTCCTAATCCTGATTGCAAGTATAAGGTCAAGCGCAAAATCCATCCATGTCTCTTTGTCCCTAATTTCTGGTCAAACCGAAGACCACTTTGAGAGCATGCTGAAATCTTCCTCCCCTTCCGGACGATCCCAACCTCTTTATGACTTCAACAGGAATCACTCCTCCAACCATTTGCAACCTAACCGACCCTTCTTGGAGTTCTCCTGCAATGCCGCCAGCACTTCGCCATGGCAGCCTGCCTCCCAAATTTGTGCAAATTCCTGGCAGTGTTGGGCCTGCAGATTCCGATCGCTACGGCTCTTCTGGCCGCAGCAGAGCAGCCACAAGAGGCAGGCTCCAAGGCTGTGAACCCACCAGCAGCGGATTTGACTGCAACTGTGGACTCCGAGTCCAAGGGGCTAGGAGCTAGAACGAGAAGTCCAAGCTCTCCAATGACATGCAACGCGAGGAAAGCACGTCTTCCAGATGCCCGGCCAACCTGGCCGGGGGTGCATGGTGGATGGGCGCTAGAGACCATTGCTATGGATATGCAGTTGTTAACTATAGTGGCGCCTTGTTGCTATAGTAATGCCCTTGTTACTAGTAGCGATGCACTTGTTACTAGTAGCTTCTTGTTACTAGTTATGGATATGCAGTTGCTACTTCAAATCCCTGGTGTTTTCTTGCATGGTCCCTGTAATGTCCCGAGGTCACGACTGAACCCCAATTGGAAGTTAGCTGCTAGTTTTGGGTGGTACATGATGTACATGCCAGTGCTGACACCTGAGTTGCTAGCGTTTGTATAAGCATGGATCGTCGTCGTCATCGCCATTTGGGCCATCATCACTTATAAATACTAGCTTATAACATGTTTATAGAATGGGGGTATGTCTTGTTATGTGTTTGAAGGGGTGGATGGGTAGATTGGTCGGGATATCTTATAGCTATATCCAAAGAGAGAGAGAGAGAGAGAGAGAGAAAACAAACAAAAAGAATCGTTGGAGGAAATCAGGCATTCCTTGTCCATGAGCGGCCTCGCTTTTCGCACACACTCAGGCCGCATGCAGTTGACCGTGTCAGCCAGACTATTTATAGAAAATCTTACCTGTGTTGTGCATTGCACAGCCGCATATAGCCGAAAGGGATGGACCACCACTCATCTTGAGCAAGTAGTCTGCAGCGGTCTGACCGCTGCAACAAAGTGGAACCGTGGCACCTCCGAAATCGAAGCAGTCCTCCAGAAAGAGGAGGAAATGGGCCGATGGCCATATGATTGTGGAATGCTTCTGATCGACGATAAAAGAGGTTCAGGGATTCAGCCAATACTGCGAGTCTGTGACGTGTGTGTTTTCAGTTTGCTGGCTTTCTTCAGGCCCAACCATTATCATCAAGGAGTGATTGTATGTATAGGGTCTGTCCATATTCTGTGCCTGCCAAGAACCCCGCAGTTGTTTTTGCATGTTACCTAGGATGACTCCCATGCAATTCACACACACACATATATATATATATACATAATTACGGTATATTACTGTACTTGCCATGATCAATGATGCTCTGGGAAATCTAGCTGCAGGAATGGAAGAGCAGCGGTATGTATGTCGAGTTCGAGTTCGCTTCCACGGCCCATCATTTGATAAATTATACACTCCTTGGAACTATATAACACGGAAGTGGAAAATGGCCCCTTGGAAGATCATTTTCCCATTACAAACAGGTGGTTTTCCACTTCCACGTTAGTTCTAGGGAGAGCAAATTGGTGTGCATTAGAATAGGGAGACCTCCCAAACTACCTTGTGGAAGAAGGAAAACAGACCAACTCATTAGTTGGGTGCGGTTCTTCCCTATTAACATGCACACCCAAAACCGGTAATTAATTACCTCAGAACCCTCTTGAGACACAAGTGTCATCTTGGCCTTTAAAAGAACACGAAGGTTGCTAGTCCCATCCTGAGCAGCTCAGTCAGAGAGAGAAACATCGTGAACCATCGGCAGTGTCCACATGTAGCATACTCAGAGCCATTTGGTCATCCTGATTCGTGTGGAAAGCACATGAAACGACATGAACGAGTGAGTTGTTCGGAACATTTCAGCAACTGCTGACTAGCCCGACAGGAAGGTGGGTTCATTTTGAAGAGGATGAGAAAAGGTCGTGGGGTTTCTGCTTTCGAACTTGTTCAAGGCTTTTTCTTCAGTGCTCAATGGATTGGTTCAAGGGAGAATCTACAGGAAATCATGGGAATCGAATCCTTACACAGCTAACTTGGTGCAGACCGATGCATTCGTTTCGTGAAGACAGATCCCGTTGGCAGGTACATTTGGGCAGGTCTCAGGGTCCAAGACCACCAGTTCCTGCGCTGAGCGTGCCTTGGTCAGATTTGGTCAGATGTACCGTTCCACAGGCATGTGTTCCATTGGGAGCCCCACTGAAATATGCTCTGGGGTGCGCACACCAACCAAGCAAAACAACAAATATTTACATTTGCACCATGAAGGCACCTGCTCCTGGATAACTGGAATGGAAGGTGTCTTGGGCGTTTCTTGCGTCGGGCACCACTATAGCGCCACCCCTTTCATCACATGTCCATTCAGTCCAAGAGCTGCCATGGACAGCACACCTGCTTGAGGTGTTCCTTTTTCATTTTTTGGGCACACAAGAAGTTTTCCATCATTCTCTCGGACACGGTCCCTGATTCTTTCATCAGAGTCCCAGAGACGAGAGAGGACCCTGGCTGGTCCATGCCCCCTTCAGCGTCAGCCACTGCGTCGGAAGACTTCTGCAGCATTGCCAGGTAGGAGCTTTGGCGATGAGATGCAGCAGTCACTCTCCAGTTCACGAAAGGTAGCCCTTTAGGGGATACCTTGAGTTTGTCTTGCGAAGCAAGTGTTGGCGCGTCCGGGTCTGATAATTCCCCTCGAATTGATTTCTCAATACAGACCCCCCCCCCGCCCCCTTGGAATTGATTTCTCAATACAGACCCCCCCCCTCCTCCCCTCCTCTAAATTCAATTCTCTCCTGGAGAACATCTTCGTGAGCCTCTCATGATTTCAGGATAGTTGAAACCCTCGTGAACATTCACAAAGAGTGCATATGAAATTCTAATCACGAAAGGTGTTCCCCGAGGGGATACATACCTAGAGTTTGTTTTGTGAAGCACGTCAATTCTCTCCTGGGGAACGTCTTCGTGAACTTCTTATGGTTTCAGGATAGTTCAAATCCTATGATGCTCCGATTCAATGCTCACCGATGATCTGAGCCATGGGGCAAGTTTGTTTTCCTAAGAATATTTTTGAACATTTCGAGAGCATATGTTGAAACATTTAGAGTGCAAATGAACTTTTATTACGAAAGGTCGCCTCCGAGGGGATAAATCACCATGTCGAACATTGCATTTTTGTTCCTGCCTCTCGCGTTCTCTTCTCTTCCCGCTGTCCTACCTTTCGTGTCTCCCTCCTCTCAAGTGGCACCTTGAACAACTGCTGCATCAAGTCCAGCGCGATCAAGTCCGAGCCATTGCACGAGAAGCGCTGGCACAGGTAAGGAGTGTGCACTAAAGAACCCTGCTCCCATTCAGTTTTGTAAACCCTAGGCCATGTGCGGGCTTTGACCAGTAATACTTAATTTGTCAACACCTGCAGCCACCAAAAAGAGTCACTGGCCAAGATGAGTCACATCCAGTGAAGATCCCTCATGAATCCTCCTGAGGATTGGTCGAAAACTCACAAAAATCATGATCCGTCTCTGAGAAAAAGTTCTGCCCCTCACATTGGAAAGACTGAATTCTCCTTAGATAAAGAAAATCTGCACACCCTTGAGGATGCAGGTATGATCAACTCCAGTAAGATGAAGTCCAGCTGACCTGTGACCTGTATGGGGTTCCACCTGGCGGTTGGCACCACGTCAGCGTCCGAAGCATTCCCTTTGAGCTCGGCCTCGGGCGACCCGCGATGGCCCTCACAAGGCCAGGGTTCCGGGTGAGAGCAGAGCTGGTTCTGGGCTCGTCATGTGTTTCAAGAAACAGCCAGGAAAAGCACACATGGTGTTAGTCGGTACATTGGACTTTATGCCAAGACGGATGTATCGTTGATGGACGGATATATTTCCGAGCGAAGGCAGCATGTAATTAGTATAGTGAGTAATAAGTAGTATATATATATATGATATAACATATATACATATCACAGCGAGCGGAATAGAAGAATTGACAGAGATATTGACAGTAAACCCTTGACCTGAGGAGCTGCTTTTTTCGCGGTGAGTACTTGTGCTCACCTCCCTCCTGCTTCCCTCCAGGACTTCCATCGGCACGTCGCTTCCCTCCAGGGCGGGTCACTGAGAGTCCATCCGAATGGGCCGCAGATCGACTCGGCGACCTGATTGGATGATTTATATGCTCCTCTATACTGTATATTATAAAATATATCACTTTGGTCGTTTGATGTCGGTGTATGGGGTCGTTCTCAACTCTAGAGAGCACGGGCATCCAACAGGTGCTGGGCGCATGGGTTTCAAGACGTGCTGGCGTGCCAGTGCCAACTCCTTTCGCTCAGATGGATTGCTGGATTGCCCCGTGGCCCGTGTGACCCCACGTAAAGTGCTGCGAAGTGCGAACCCCTCTGAGCGCGGCTGAGGTCGGATGGCCTCAGTCGACCCCCCCCCACCGACTTCTCCAACGAGCAAAAGATCCGTAAGATCGCCAGTGGTTCAATATGGTTCAATGGTGAAGTGATGAAAAGGATGGTGAGAAGGCAGTCATCCATGTCATCCCATCGGAGTGCTTTTCTATGCTACGGATCCTTTTGTTTAATACGGAGGGCTTCGGAACAAGCTATTTGCCACCAGCTTTGCCACCGAGCTTCTGCCGACCCTCTCAGGTCGGAAGAAGCTCGCTGAGGACCGGCATGGGGCGGTCGGACGGATCAGGACGCCGTCGCGACGAGTCGTTTTAGGCTCGTGGGTCGGCAAGGCGCGCAAGGCGTAGAAGAAACACCACACGCGCCGAAACACCTCGAGCGGGCAAGGGACACATATTTGGATTTATCCACGTGTTTTGTTTGTATATAGAGACTGTATTCATCAACAGTCGACAGGACGTAAGTAGGGAAATGGAGGGGGCTGAAATTGTAGTCCTTTTTCACCGACTGGTTTGTTGCTGAAATCCCTTGAATTCGCTGCTTGAGGCTTGGCATCCCTGTCCAAGCTCAGGCGCCAACACCGTTTTGCAGATGTTTTGGAAGTCAGTTTGGTGTGATGTCACAGCAACCCACCCGAAGTATGCGCTGAGTATCTTTGAGTGCGAGTCCCTTGTGAGAACATGTATATAATGTTTTGGAGATCGTGAACCTTTTGTTTGGAGGTCATGAAGGGAAACACCCAAGCGCAGTTAGAGGTGATTCGGGGGTGCTAGAAAAACAATGAAAAACAATGGACAACTGACATGCAACGTATTCAGCAAAATTGGCAATGACGCAAGATAGCAAACCCTACTTAGCTCAGGACTGTCGAGGGTCTAACATTTTGCCTATGAGTACTTGTTAATTACTCTGACGCAAAATCGATGAAAAGGCTTAAGGATGAGCTTACCTGATGTTGAAATGAGCACTTGCAGGGCCCTAGAGCTGGCCACAGAATGCCCAGACTCTTGTGAAGATGAATGGCCGCATCGGTCAAGATGCAAGAGCTACCTATATAAAGATTATAAAGCTATGGAAGGTGCACTTGCCGCAAAAGCCCATAGGCTGAAGACATGAGTGATTGAACCCAGTATCTTCGGACCTCGCTTGCGCTTGGATGTGCCCCCCCTGTCGCAACTGCACTCTCGATACTTTATCCACTGGCAGGTGGGTGTTTAGGTCATCAGAGCAGGGTATATAACTTCAATTTTCCCCAGGTGATTCTTGACTGAGTTTTATGTTGGAGACACTTGACAGGAATCCAGATCGATGCATCTCAAACATAGCCCACTTGATTTCGTGAAGGAAAGCATGCGCCCCCTTGAGGTGGTTCTGGATTGAAGCTATGACATGGGCCCGCCGTGCCAATCCCTCGCAGGCCTATCCCTCGTTGAGGTGTGGGTGTCGCGGCTGGTCAAGACCTGCCGTGCTGGGCTGAGTTGCCGGTTGGTTTATGATTCATTGGCCCCAAAAGCATCCCAAAGGCTCTTTTTTATGACATTGAGTCTGAGCAGCTGATCGGACACCATAGCACAACCCCCCACGGTTGAGACCCGGTGGCCCTGATCTTAGTGCATTCGCCTTTGGAGAACGGTGAGAGTTGTTCACGGCCGTTGGGCTGGCGACATGTATTCGCGACGACTCGTTACACGAGAGTATGACGAAAGACTGGCGATGGTCTCGGTGACCTATTTTTTGGGGTGTTAGGAGCAAAGGGCATCGCTACTAGGAGCAAGAAGCTACTAGTAGCTCCTGGCCTTACTACTTTACTACTAGGAGCAGGGATGCTACTAGGACCATACCAGAAACCAATAGAAACCACCTCCAGGGCATGCATCGAGTGGGGATTGATCCGTGCCGCGGTCACCGTGGTCCTTTCCACGTCTCGTTCGGTCGTTTCGGTGCCCGTTGACTGCAACATGTTTTCGCTGAAGGCACCTTCGATCTCTTCGATTTGCGCCAGATGCTGAGCTGGGCGCACCGAGAGTGGAAAACAAGGGCAAGGACCCTCGTTGCCACGTTTGGAGCCTGCACTATAAAGCCCAAGAATCTCCTACGTGACAACATACATTTTACAATATTACCAGACTCCATGTATGCCATATATGCCTACATTGATCCCCAAAACCACCCCAATGTAGGCATATATGCCAAACATAGAGTGTTTGAGTTATACACTTGGGATCACTTGGGTATATCCAGCCTTGGCTTTCATGGAGAAGAGAAGAGTTGAGGTGGTTGCTAAGTAATTCACTGCCCTGGCACTGGTGAACTCGCTTCCGGCCACTGGGGTGCTCACCCGCCATGTTCCAAGTGCCAACCTGCAGCGCTCCCGGCCCAGTTTCGGAAGCTGCGAGGTCTTGGGCGGTGCCGCGGCCCGGGGCTCGAGCCGCGGAAGCAGAGATGCGAGGCGGGGTGTCGTGCGACTCTGAGTCAGTCGTTGAGGGGATTCAGGACGGGCAGGTGCTTTGGATCGCTTTGGTTTGTATATTTTATGTTTGGCACGAATCGAATCAAGGATGGCCACCACCGTTGTGTGATGTCGAATTGGCCTGAATACCATGCGTGCCCATCCCATGTCTTGTCGGTGACTTTGCCCAGTTCCTGCAAGTGCTGATGGAAACATTATGAAACATGTACATGTGCTCAAGCTAGCTATGACGGAATCAGAATCCGATGTTCATTCTACAAACGGTGCAGGTTTGGACTTCCGTTTAGTGGACGTGGCAGGCTATACATGACGTGCGCGGCTTTCAGGCGGCGGTCCCACCCAGCTGCCACACGCCGGCGGGCCGAAGGTGCTGCGGGGGTGGTGCTGTTGGGGTAGGAGGAGTGGTTCAATTTTAATGTTTTGGGTGTTAGTAGAGAAAGGGTAGAAATCTGAACCATTGATATATATCATGATAAATGATACTTTGATTTGTGCCGACGTGTGTACCATAGTTTGGGATGGGGTGATCAAACACCATTGTCATGTCATATCATTTCACATTGGTTGCCCAACTATATAAACAACTTTTGTGAGTGGGTATATAGATTGAACGAAAACGGTTCTTGAGACCAAGTGCAGCAAAGGTGTTGTTGGATGTTATTTAACCTCACCGCTGAGAGGCTGAGAGAAGTGTTTTCAGATGTTTTCAGTGTTCCCGCACATTCCCTCGGAAGCAACGCTTTGTCTAGGGGAAAGCTCTTTTCGCAGGTGCGCAAGCAGTGAAGGTGAAGGGGGAGAAAGACGAGGCGCCGCCGATCTGATTGGATACGAGGTTGCCTGTGTTGTTTGACCCCGAGTGTGGGGAGTGAGCAGTTTGGCGCCTGGGTGTGGGAACAAAGGGGGTGGTGTGGCAGACATGTTGGGTATACTTTGATGCGACCTGTGAATGACTTCGAGAAAGCAGAGGATAGGAGTGGTTCATGATTTGCATATATTTGCATGAATTGCATCGTCGCGGGTGGAGCGTCTTCACGTATCACCTGACTGAAGAGGTATGTGGTGTGGTAGACTGTTGATTGATAACACCACCAACCAGAATGGAAGCTGTTTTACAGTCCAAAAGTGGGGTTATTTATCAACAGTCCAGTCCTACATCACGTAACACCATATATAATTGTTTTGAATGGCCTAAATGGTATTATATATGATGTATAGTATATATGCTTAAAGTTAGTTTATTGGATCAAGCTTCGCCTCTAATTAAAGGCCCTCAGATGACTTCAGATGACACCGTGTGCAGCCCTAGATCGGCATGTGCTCTTCCAAGTGTTGAGGAATCGAAGGTATGTTTCCAAGGAGATTGGTCAACAGCAAGTTTCCTTTGTTAAGCACTCCAGATTTACTTCCAACTTTTTGGGGTTCTCACCAGTGAGACCAATATATACATATTTAGCTTATTCATACTGCCCGATTTTGTTTACAAGTGGGCGGACCTACCCTAGTTTAGCCTGGATGCAGGCTCACCCAGCAGGACTGTTGATTGCCATTTGGTTGCTTGTTCAGTTGAACTTCCATTTCCAAGAAGTCTCAGCCGAACACCGGTCACGTCGACCTGGAATCACATGTCCACCCTCCGGCTGTTGAGTACCAGGCTCAATGTATCACCGGATGACTGACCACCCAATGTATCACTCCAAAGGATCCAAAAGGAAGATGAAAAGGATCCAACAGGAAGATGACACAAGATGACAGTTCACAGTTCACAGATCACGCATGTCAAGCTGCTTGTCCATGCTTGTCCATGGTAGCGTACATTTCTTATGTAGCTTATGTCTATAAAATACCAGCTCACTGGGGCCTATCAAGGCGTCCACTCCGCTGGACTGGAGTCTGTGGTCGACAGGTGGAACCAGAGCCCTTCTTTGAGGAGGTGTCCGGTGATGACCCCTTGGCTGCCCGGTGGAAGCCGGCTTCGCTCTGAAAGTGGAAACACACTTGAAACATACATATTGGAACTTTGATCGTTACAGTACTTATGTAGCAATGGCCTCCAACCTAAGAGCGATGGCATCCAACCTACTAGCGGCTAGCGGCTAGCGATGGCCTCTAACCTAATAGCCGTGGCCTCCAACCTAAGAGTCATCACATCGAACCTACTAGCCATGGCGTCCAACCTAATGGCGATGGCCAACGCTCTTGAAACTTTGATTGTTACGGTACTAATGCACTCACCTACGAATGGGATGCCAAGAGAGAAGAATTTGGAAATAGATACTTTGTTGACCTCGGGCAGAAAATGGAGCCCGGCCTGCAAGGTCCAGTTCTTTTATATACTCATTTTTTTGTGTTGACGGTATTTTGGTATATGGTATTGTTTGATTTCCTTGGCAGCCGAGATTGTACAATGAGCATGAAATGCAGAAGTGGTTGAGCGAAACAGTTATGACGACTTTGTTTTAGGCAGGGTGATCCATTAAAAAATCCAAACTTCTACCCTCATCTACGGAAGACATCGAATTTCATCAGAACTTCACCTGATGAGAGCAGAGGCCCACCGACTGAGCGTCCAACACCGACCGAACACTGCGGCGCCCGGGCGAGCGAAGCCAGGAATCTCCTGGGGTTGCTCGGTTGTTTTCTGCAGGGGCGAGCGCGCCGTTTTCACCGAGGTCTTGGAATTGGAAGCGCGATTGAAGCAGATGAACGACGACAAGTCCTTGACGCTTCTTCGTACATGGAAGAAATGGGGTGTCCATTTTTCTAAGGGCCGGATGAAGAAAAAGGGGCCGAAAGAAGATGCGCAGATGCTGAGACTCCCTAAGGTAGCTGGGCTGTGAACTTGTAACTTGCTGCATTGAGAAACTTCCTCGGACTTTTGTAGAATGTGCTTGATATGTTCATTTGTATGTGGGCATATTATCTATACTGTATATATAGGCTTTCTCATTTTTTGACTGATGTGGGTGAATCATGTGAGGGAACACTAGTGCGACGCATTGCGAAGCCACAGGCTCATGCCACCGGCTTGGATCATTGACGGGGGCTTTCATGGCTGACTAGGATGGTTCTAATCCTTGCCGCAAACGCTTCAATGATCGAGAGATTGACCAATTGAAAAACGGGGAATGGGTGCATGTCTTGAAGCCGAACGGGGGCAGTCAAAAAAGCCGACGGCCGACGGATCGTGTTGGGCTGCTCCGAATCAGAAGGCAGAATTTCATCAAGACACTTGCTACTTGTATAGTGATTAGTAGGGGACAAGACAGCACAAATACATGAAGAATCATGAAGACATTTCGCAAAGATTGCTTGCTGGGGTCCTCTCGCCTTAAATATGTCAAGCAGTTGAACCACAATCAGCTCGACACTAAGTCACGAAGCACCTGAGGACCTTGGATATGGTCCTCAATCCTGGCACCATTGTCAATACTGAGCGCGAGGTCATTCTGCTGAAAGCACAGCTGAAGGCCAGGGCGATCGTTGAATGGACACAGTTTTCTTTTGACAACTTGCTTGATTGACCTTTGACTTTGTATTGTCGCAATCGTCAGGAATGTATATAGATCCTTTTGTAGATTGCAAATGCCTTGGTTTGTGTTTGGCATGTGCGGCTGTAGGAATGCTTTAGGATATTGCAGGATTATACTATAAGACCCAGTCGCAATTGGACGGTTGCTCCAGCACCCTCAGCGTGTTGTAAACATACATACCGGTCTGCAGACCTACCATTTCGCCGCAGATTCTCCATGACTCCTTATCACAGCGTTTGATGATCACATGTGAGCTCATATCTACGAGCAGCCAAGGCCACACCGGATGAGGAGGTTGACAAGCGGAAACAGTTGGAGGAGCGGAAAAAAACCGCCGACGACGGACGTTGATTCGGGCTGATTCGGTCATCCGGATTCAATTCGGTCATCCGGATTCAATCACTTGCGACAGATTCCAAGGTTTCAATCAATGTTGTAATATGACAAATGCAATAGAATCAATAGAGTGTGGAAGGTACAATGTGCAAGACATTATATCATAATAATTGATTACAGTATCCAGGCAGTCCAATCTTGCCTTCGAAAAGTTGTTTTGTGGAGGCTGTTCAGCCTTTGTGATGACGACTTTTGTCAGATGCTCATAATTGTTGGATACAATATGACCCCTTAGCCACCTTTGCCTGGCTGATAGTCACGTTGCTGATGATGGAGGGGAGGGAGAGAGAGAGAGGATGCGATCCAGGCTGGACGTTGCCAACCTTCAATACCAGTGTTGGCCACAACTGACTGTGCAGTGCTTCAGGAAAGAACTTGTTGATTTTAGATGTTGGTTTGCTAACTCGTGTGCAGGTAGGTCTCGCATGTTCAGCTGTAAATGTTCAAGTCAACTGTGGTGGTGCTGTTGATCGCAAAGATCTCACAAGTTGGCCGGCAAAGGACAAGATTGAGGAGAAGCAGATGAAGGCCTCTTCAATCTTTTTGGTTGCCCTGGTAGCATCTTGCATCATGCCGTAAATGGATCAAAACATATGTGCATTGTATGTATATGTTATATTTTCACGTGATATAATTAATACTTGATACATGCAGTCTAACTATATTGTTAAGGGCTTTAGCAAAGCCCGTGGCCAGCTGACCTCGGCTCCTTAACTCATTCAGAACATGAGTTTCATGGCACACTTTCGGAGAAGCAACCGATACCTTGAAGCAACTTGGAAGCTATAGATAGGTGTTCGATGTGTTCCATATTTCTTCGGGATTGGCTTTGGCTGCGCCTTGTTGTGTTGATGCATCCACAAAAGATTGATAGACAAGCACAAAGATCCCCAAAAGCAACTCACTGGGTAAAAATGAAGAAACATTGGCAGATCGTCAATGAGATGAAGCTCGTGATGACTAACAACTTGAAGCTCGAGTTGCTTGGAGTTCTTGACAGCAGGTTTGGGTAGCGCTTTGCCTCTTCAACTGATGCAAGATGTGTGGAATTAGCATAGATACCTGATTTCAGGGTGTGTAGAGGAGTCAGCTCTTGCAAACCGGTATACTGTGTATGCATGTGTATGCCTCATGGTACGGCGAAAAGAGCTGGCCTGGGCATCAAATATGGCAGAAGAAAGAAGGTACACATGCCGAAAGGATGAGTGACAACTCTTTCCCTGGTTCTTCAATTCGTCACCGAGCTTTATCTCCTGGTTTGTTCAGTCACCAGTCCGGGCCTGGAAGTTGGGTCACTGGATGGAACACCAAAAAGGTTCGGTCACGAACGGGCCAAGAAGCTGGTCAGTCTTTTCAAGCACTGCGTGCAAGAGCCCCCTACCAAATAAACATCGCTCTACTGTACGTCACACAGTTCCACGATGTTTCACCACAGCATTGGTAGCGATCATTGGGTTCCTTCTCACGGGGCCAAGTTTCCGAAAGACAATCAGGTTCAGCGGCAATGTAGACTCTTGATCAGTAGCCCCGCCCAGTTGAATTGAAGAACCTCTTCACATGGGTGGTTTCATTATATATGCTACTAGTATCTTCTTGCTCCTAGTAACAAGGGCATCGCCACTAGGAGCAAGGGCATTACTACTACTACTACTACTACTACTACTAGCACGAAGCTACAGTAGCAATTGGGGGCGCGATGCCCAAACAGCTACTAGTCAAGCATCTCTTCCTTTCGTTGGACCCAAAGATCCCAAACCAACACAATCTTTCGTTCTTACCCCGGTGCTTGCTTTAACGGTTACACCGTTAGGCGGGAGCAATGTAGGCGGTCGATGGATCAAACACCCGATACAGAGAAGATGGAAAAGTTATCCGACCAT